AGATAGTTTTCATTACCGAATTTAGCATTTATACAGTTGAAAATACAGTTCAAATTGAGATTCCGGTTAGAACCAGAAGAGATGAATGTGATGATACCATTTCAAATGAATATTCACGTATTCTCATATGTCTGACTGAAACTCATTATCTTTTTATGGCTTCATCAGCATTCCTTTGATATATTCCAAAACCCTGTCTACATCCACCGTCCACGCTACCGATACTGGTGAATATCCCACCCATGGATTGCTCCCGTTCCATCTGCAATCCAATCAAAACCGCCCGTTTAGAGATGTGTTTAAAGATTCAAAGAGTGTTCTTTTTGTGAAAAAACAAAGTTAATATAATAAACCTCTTGAGGCCTTGATCCATGAGGGTGTGGCCAACGCAGATTCCTTGAGTCTCCACCCGAACAACACCTTTCTTATATGTGAATAGATCAGGCCGTACCACAGCCACAAAGCTGACCGGATCATGGAGGTACACTCCTGAAACCAGCAACATAAACTTTTGAATCAAAACTGCAATTTCTAAAGCATGTTTGATCACAGTTTCTTGCTTACCGTAAACACCATCGGATTTTACGTGCCAATCTCTGTAGAAATTGCACATGTCGCTCAACAATTTTGCGTGTTTTCCCTCAGAGTTACGCAGCTCTAATAGGTCATCATCTGAAACAGTTCAAAAAACAGACTTGCTTTCAGTGGATTATAATGCGATTTCAGGAATGTTAAAGGAGATGGAGGAAGAAGAAGTTTCTTCACCTGTTAGTTTAAGCTGAGTTGTGATGTTTATACCAACAACGGTGATCTCTGCTCCAGATGTGAACACGATATCTGCCGCTTCCGGGTCACCATATATCTGCATATATACATCCACAAAATGAAACCTGCGTTTTCGTTTCATTAAAAGAAAGTCAAAACAAAAGAGTTTAGAGGTTTTACATTCGCCTCAGCTGCGGGATTGACATTTCCCAAAGCAAAGAAGGATCCACCAAGTATAACAATCTTCTTCACATTACTTGCAAAGGAACTATCGCGTTTGATGGCCTAAAACGGAAAACCCCCCCTCAAGATTCAGACACACATCGGAGTTTTAGATTAAAGAATGGATTCATGATTCTTACTAGTGCCAGGTTGGTCAGAGGTCCGAGGGCAAGAATGGTGACTTCACCCGGAAATTCTGAAACCTTATCAAGTAGAAATTCAGCTGCACCTTTCTCACATTTCGTTCTACTCGGAGGAGGAACAGAGACATCTCCTAACCCATTCTTGCCGTGCACAAAATCAGCAACACGGGGAATTCCACCCTGAATCAAGACACAATCCCAAAAGTCGAGAAAAAGTCACAACATGTTGACTTTGTCTCATATCAAAGATCTACCGATTTCCATGGCATAAATTAGGCTCAATCCTCCTCACAAGAGGAAAGCAAGATTGTACCTTTAAGGGTTCAGAAATTCCTTCTGCAACGGGAACATCAGGGAAGCCAGCAATCTCACACTATTCTTTTGCATAACGAACAAACCGAAAAAGATCACAGACACATTCCAAAACATTTTTCAAAGAAGTCAAGACTGACTCAAATGATGCTTTGTACATACCAGGGCTAATGCATTGCGAGTAGCATCTTCAATTAAAACATTACCAAACACAGTAGTCAGTCCTAAAATCTCCAGCTCTGGTGTTTGGAACGCCATCATTATCGCCATGCTATCATCTAACCACACACATATAACAATTCAGTAATGTTATAACACCAATTTCATCTACCAAGAATCTACAACTTGAGCTCCTCCTATTGATCTAACAAGAACAATCTAGTTCTTCTTAAAGATCCGAACTTTATGACAAATGTAATCATCCTCTTTCTATTAAGCTTAAAGATCCAAACTTTACAATCAATCAGCTCAAGAAATTAACCAGAACTCTCAATTCAATGCTTGAGATTTCGATTCGAACAAAGTCTAACACACACACAAAAAAGGAAACCCTCATAAGACGCAAGGAAGATCCATTGACTAAAATCTTAAGTCTCTATAAAAGTAATCAATTAGGGGAAAGAAGCTCTCACCGATTCCTGGATCAGTATCGATAATGAGCTTCTCACGCTTAGCAGAGATACCCAAAACGTCACCGTTTGGGATCACACCGTTGCAATTCTCCGTAGCAGAATCCATCTAGACGAAGATACTTTGATTAAAAGTAAAACCCAGGAAATGAATATAAACCCAACTGAAAAGTCTCTCCTTTTCGTAAACAGTTTGTTTCCAGATTTATAGATACGAATTAGATCAGAAAAATGGCTGAGTTTTTCAGAATCTTTAACGAGAAAAAAACAAATCAAAAGTTTTGAAAAAGAGGAAGAATTGAAGTGGATTAGCCATGGGGGAAAAAACAAGATTTATGGGAGAGAGGACGAATTGCTGAGTCGTCCAGCTACGC